TCACTGCAACCTCTACCTCCCCAGTTCAAGCAATTCTGCCTCAATCCCAAGTAGCTGGGATTACAGGCACATGGCACCACAACCACCTAATTTTTGTATTTTTAGTAGAGATGGGGTTTCACCATGTTGGCTAGGGTGGTCTTGAACTCCAGACCTCAGGTGATCCATCCACCTTGGCCTCCCAAAGTGCTGGGATTACAGGCATAAGCCACTCCACCCGCACGCAGTCTTTTATTTTCTTTTTAGAGAAAGGGTCTCGCTCTGTCACCTAGGCTAGAGGTAGCAAAATCATAGCTCACTGCAGCCTTGAACTCCTGGGCTCAAGAAATTCTCCCACCCCAGCCTCCCAAAGTAGTGAGTTACCCTGCTTTTTTTTTTTTTTTTGAGACGGAGTTTCGCTCTTGTTACCCAGGCTGGAGTGCAATGGCGCAATAATCTCAGTTCACTGCAACCTCTGCCTCCTGGGTTCAGGCAATTCTCCTGCCTCAGCCTCCTGAGTAGCTGGGATTACAGGCATGTGCCACCACGCCCAGCTAATTTTATGTATTTTTAGTAGAGACAGGGTTTCACAATGTTGACCAGGATGGTCTCGATCTCTTGACCCCATGATCCACCCGCCTCAGCCTCCCAAAGTGCTGGGATTACAGGCGTGAGCCACCGCGCCCGGGCTGAAGTGTTCTTTAAAAAAAATTTTTTTTTTAGACCAGGCTGGAGTGCAGTGGCATGATTTCACTGCAATGTCCATCTCCTGGTTCAAGTGATTCTTATACCTCAGTTTCCTGAGTAGCCAGGGTTACAGGCATGTGCCACCATGCCAGGCTATTTTTGTATTTTTAGTATTGAAGAGGTTAACCATGTTAACCAGCTTGGTCTTGAAAACCTGGCCTTAAGTGATCTGCCTGCCTCAGCCTTCCAAAGTGCTTGAATTACAGGCATAAACCACTGTGCCTGGCCTGAAGGGTTTTAAGTCTGGGAGTGATAAATGATTGTGATCAGATAATTATGATTTAGATGAGGGTAAGAAAGAAGCCAAAACCCTGAAATATTTAAGGGATATATGTACAGGAGATGGTAATTGACCAAATGAGCTGAGGGGAATAAGCTAGCTGGAAGGAGTTATCAGAGAGGTGTGCAGCTGGGGCTGACATGGGATTCATGGTTGTTTTACATCAAGGAGGGGTGGGTGGTCCCCACTGCTCTTAACTGTCAGCATGACTCTAGAGCAGGTGGCCACCATGGGTCCCCACCCTCCAGGGGATGCCCGGTCTCCTGTCCTTAGATTCACATTTCTCCAGGTGGGATCTGGGGATGTGTCACCTTAAAGGGTCCACCAGTTCTCTAGATGGATGTTTGGCTTTGGGTTTCCATTTTCATCACCAGTAGGAGCATCGGGGCCATCCAGACCTACTCTGCTGAGTCTGTGTCTTTGTCACACCACATCCCACAGGGCAGTCAGCAAAACACCACCCGCCATTTTCAGTTAACACAGTCAGATGCAATGTCATGGTTTTCACATTTATCTACTTTGGAAAACTGTTTAAGGTTAGGTATAAGAACAAAAGCAAAAAGAAGTGTTTTTTAATACCCAGTTTTATGTTTTACATAAGTGATGTGATAAAAATGATTCAAGTTAATATCTTGGGGGGAGATGGGTCCATGAAAAATGTTTTCTTTCATAGGATGGGCCAGGCATGGTGGCTTACCCCTATAATCCCTACACTTTGGGAGGCTGAGGTGGGAGGTGGGAGTTTCACTTGAGGCCAGGAGTACAAGACCAGCCTCGACAACATATTGAAACCCCGTCTCTACTTAAAATACAAAAATTAGGCTGGGCATAGTGGCTTATACCTGTAATCCCAGCACTTTGGGAGGCTGAAGCAGGTGGATCACTTGAGGTCAGTAGCTCGAAACCAGCCTGGCCAATAGAACGAAACCCCGTGTCTACTAAAAATACAAAAGTTAGCCTGGTTCGGTGGTGGGTGCCTGCAATCCCAGCTCCTCAGGAAGCTGAGGCAGGAAAATTGCTTGAACCCAGGAGGCAGAGATTGTAGTGAGCTGAGATCGCACCACTGTACTCCATCCTGGGTGACAGAGCAACACTCTATCTCAAAAAAATAAATAAATAAATAGCCGGGCGCAGTGGCTCACACCTGTAATCCCAGCACTTTGGGAGGCCGAGGCAGGTGACCTCACGAGGTCAAGAGATCGAGACCATCCTGGTCAACATGGTGAAACCCCTTGTCTACTAAAAATACAAAAAATTAGCTGGGCATGGTGGTACGTGCCTGTAGTCCCAGCTACTCAGGAGGCTGAGGCAGGAGAATTGCCTGAACCCAGGAGGCGGAGGTTGCGGTGAACTGAGATCGCACCATTGCACTCCAGCCTGGGTAACAAGAGCGAAACTCTGTTTCTAAATAAATAAATAAAATAAAAGTAGTATATTTCTCAGGTTTGAGAAAATGTCCCTGACAAAAAGTAATTCTAAAAGAGTGTGACAAGTGGTTTGACAGAACAGGATGAGGTATACTGGGAATACAAGCAGCAGCCCCAAACCTAGGCTGCAAATATCAGTTTGGACTCTATTCCGAGGGCAGGAGAGTATGCAAGTGCCTGATCCTATCAGATATAGGATTTTGTGTTCAAAAGAATGGATTAAATGAACAAGGCTGAAGGCTGAAGGCAGGGAGACCCGCAGAAAGGCTGTCTAGACACTCCTTGAGGGTAAGAATGTGTCTGGTTCTTCTCTGGGATCCCAACTCTGCCCAGCTCTATGCTAAGGAGGTACACTGTGAAATGCCATGCATTACTGGGCAACCAGGAGGGCCAGCCCAAAACTTTACCTTAGGCAGAAAGAGAATCTGAAAACAGTAGAAGAAACACCCACTGTGTGCCAAACACTGTCCAGTAGCCTCTTTTTTTTGGAGACGGAGTTTCACTCTTGTTGCCCAGAAGTGCAATGGTTTGATCTCAGCTCACAACTTCCACCTCCCAGGTTCAAGCAATTCTCCTGCCTCAGCCTCTTGAACAGCTGAGACTATAAGCATGTGCCACCATGCCGGGCTAATTTTGTGTTTTTAGTAGACACGGGGTTTCTCCATGTTGGTCAGGCTGGACTCTAACTCCCAACCTCAGGTGGTCCACCCACCTCGGCCTCCTAAAGTGCTGGGATTATAGGCGTGAGCCACCTCACCTGGCCTTTTTTTTGTTTTGAGACGAAGTCTCTTCTCTGCCGCCCAGGCTGGTTAGACATGGTGCCATCTCAGCTTACTGCAACCTCTGCCTCCTAGGTTTAAGCAATTCTATGCCTCAGCCTCCCAAGTAGCTGGGATTACAGGCACCTGCCACCATATCTGGCTGATTTTTGTATGTTTAGTAGGGATGGGGTTTCATCATCTTGGCCAGGCTGGTCTTGAACTCCTGACCTCGTGATCCACCTGCTTAGGCCTCCCAAAGTGCTGGGATTATAGGCGTGAGCCACTGGGCCGGACCTTTTCTTTTGAGACAAAGTCTTACTCCGTCGCTCATGCTGGAGTGCAGTGATTCAATCACAGCTCACTGCAGCCTCCCACTTTAGCCCCCCAAGTAGCTAAGACTACAGGTATGTACCACCATGCCTGGCTAATTTTTTTGTTTTGTATAGACGGGGTCTCCCTATGTTGCCCAGGCTGGTCTCAAACTCCTGGGTGCATGTGATCCTCCTGCCTAGTTCTCCCAAAGTGCTGAGATTACAGGTGTGAGCCACTGTGCAGGGTCCCAGTGAGCCTTGAATTCTTCTTCTCCTCCCTTCCTCCCTACACTCTTGAAAATGCTACAGTCACCTCCCTTTTTTTTCAGATGAGGGAATAATAAGGCTCAGAGAGAAGGCAGTGACTTGGCCAAGGTCCAGGCTTCCTCTTGTGGAGAAGATGGAATCTGAGTCAGGATCTGTAACTTTAGAGCCTTTCTCATACAGATATGCGGATTAACCACTGCCCAGAGAGTATAAAGTCAGGTGACAGGAGTTCTGAGGGCTGAAATACTTACCACGTCTCTACATGGAGGAAAGAGAGGAGTTGGGAAGAAGTGGGAGGTTCAGAGTGGGGTAAGGGAAGGAGGGGGAGACAGCACTGTAGGAGTAACAGGCTATGAAAGGACAGAGGGGGAAAGAGAAACAGGAGGGCTTGCAGGAGAGGTTTGGCAGGCTCTGGAAGGGAGCAGTGGGGGCCAGCAGGGCAGGGCTGGGCCTCTGGTGTTAGGCTTAGGGCCTACAGTGTGTCTCCAAGAAGGGGAGAAGCAAACTGGAGGCAAAGCAATGGTGGTCCAGGGTCCCCGCCTCAGTACCAGGAAAGGAGAACAAAGACACCTGCGGGTCAGCAACAGGGGCAATTAAAAGGGGACAATACTTTGCACTCTGACAAAAAGGGGATAAGGCTATCTTTTGAGTGTGTTCATGTGTATGGCTTCCAAAGCACTTTCACATCCAGTTCTGAATCTATTCCTTACAACAGTTCCACCAGGCAGGGGAGGATTCTGTGCCCCCTGCCCCTTTACAGATGAGGAAATCAAGACGTAAAGCATAACTGGGTTATAACGCAGAACCTCCGACTTCTGCCCTTTCTTGGACTGTGATTCTGCCTCATCTGTTAACCACACTGCAAATCACAGTTGCTGCTTGCAACCAAGTCCCCATCCAGTACTGCTTTGGGGCTGGGGGCCAAATCTTAGACTCTCGATGCCTTCTCATCTTCCCTTGGGCTCCAAAGTTAATGATGACACCTAGACTTTGACATTTAATTCCTTGCCTCTTCAGAACTCTCCAAAGTCTGAAATTGACCTCAGTGACCCTATTTTATTGTTCTCTTTTGAGACACAGAGAGTGGATATTCTCCCCAACCTAAGAAGAAACTGAAGCCCAGACAGCGGAAGTGACTGGCCCAAGACTTAGTGAGTCCGTGACACGGCTGGGACAGGACTAGAACCCAGGTCCTTCTGCCACCCACTCATCCAGATACCCTCCTTACCTGCAGCACTGACAAGTTGGTCTGTCCAGAAAGGCTCAGCTTCTCCTGCTCTGAGGGATAGGCATTGTAGCGGTGCAAGTACAGCCAGTCCCGAAGGATCTTCACTGACTCCTTGGGCAGGTTTCCCCTGCGCTTCCTTTTGCCGGACAGGGAGAGGAGGCCTTCATCCTCACCTAGATCACTGTCTGACATGGTGTCTAGGGGCTAGGCTGGACCTTGGGTAAGCCTGGGACAAGTGACACAGGGGATGGGAACATCATTAGCATGCAGTGCCTTTCCTAGTCTCCAAACACGCTCAGCATTACTCGAGCCTGGGACACCAGAAATGGGGTAGGTGCAGTTCAGACTCTCAGGCCATACCACAGCCAGAGCAAGCTAGAAGGAATGGGTTCAAAGTTCCTCCACTTCGTGGAACAGGTAAGTGACTACCAAATGGCAGTTCATTCACAAGCAAGACTCGGACTGGAAATAATCACAGCTTTCACTAAGGTCTACTGTTTTCCATGTTTGGTACTGAGCATTTTTTCTTTCTTTCTTTAAGATGGGGTTTCACCATGTTGAGCTGGCTGTTCTTAAACTCCCGACCTCAGGTGGTCCGCCCGCCTTGGTCTCCAAAGTGATTAGAGGCGTGAGCTACCACACCCAGCCTAAGCATTTTTTCTTTCTTTCTTTCTATTTTTGAGATAGAGTCTCGAACTGTCACCCAGGCTAGAGTGCAATGGTGTGATCTTGGTTCACCACAACCTCTGCCTCCCAGGTTGAGGCGATTCTCCTACCTCAGCCTCCCAAGTAGGTGGGATTACAGGCACCCACCACCATGCCCGGCTAATTTTTTTGTATTTTTAGTAGACACGGGGTTTCATTTATGTTGGCCAGACTGGTCTCAAATTCCTGACCTCATAATCCACTCACCTTGGCCTCCCAAAGTGCTGAAATTACAGGCGTGAGCCACCGTGTCCTTTGTTTTTGGAGACCATGCAGTGGTGCCATCTCGACTCACTTCAACCTCTGCCTCCTGGGTTCAAGCGATTCTCCCACCTCAACCTCTGAGTAGCTGGAATTATAGGCATGCACCTGGCTAATTTTCTATATTTTTTGGTAGAGACAGGGTTTCACCTGACCATGGCCAGGATGATCTCAAACTCCTGGCCTCAAGTGATCTGTTGGCCTCAGCCATCCAAAGTGCTGGGATTATTGGTGTGAGCTACTGTGCCCAGCCTGTATTGAGCATTTTACATGTTATCTCATTTAATCATTATACAACCTCAATAAGGGAGAAGCTATTATTATCATCATTTCATAGATGAGGTAACAGAAAGAAATTAAGAAAGCTGCCCAAGGCCAGCACAGTGGCTCACAAAAAAAATACAAAAATCAGCCAGGTATTGAGGTGTGAACCTGTAGGCCCACCTTCTTGTGGACTGAGGTAGAACTGCTTGAGCCCAGGAGGTCAAGCTGCAGTGAATTGTGTTTGTGTCACTCCACTCCAGCCTGGGTGACAAAGTGAAACTCTGTTTCAAAAAAAGAAAGCTGGGCATGGTGGTGTGCAGCTGTAATCCCAGCTATGCAGGGGGCTGAGACAGGAGAATTCCTTGAACCCAGGAGATGGAGGTTGCATTGAGCCAAGATTGTGCCACTGTACTCCAGCCTGGGCAACGAGAGCCAAACTCCATCTTAAAAAAAAAAAAAAAATCTTGACACATGCTACAACATAGATAGTCCTTGAAAGCATTATGCTAAGGGAAAAATGCCTGTCATAAGAGACTACATGTTACATGATTCCATGAACTCTATAGAGGCAGGGTAGATTAGCTAACTAACAGCTCCGCAGTTAGGGCTGGTGGAGATAAAAGGATGAGTGGTAGCTAAAGTGTATAGAGTTTCTTTCCAGGGGGCAAAAACATCCTGGGCCAGGTGTGGTGGCTCATGCCTGTAATCCAAATACTTTGGGAAGTTAAGGCAGGAAGATCTCTTGAGGCCAGGAGTTCAAGACCAGCCTGGGCAACACACTAAGACCCTTTCTCGCTGGGCATGATGGCTCACGCCTCATCCCAGTACTTTGGGAGGTGGAGGCAGGCAGATCATCTGAGGTCGGGAGTTCGAGACCAACCTGACCAACATGGAGAAATCCTGCCTATTTAAAAAAAATAAGAAAATAATAATTAAAAAAAAGACCCTTTCTCTACACAAAATAAAAATTAGGGCTGGGAGGGGTGGCTCATGCCTGAAATCCCAGTTCTATGGGAGGCTGAGGCGGGTGGACTGTTTGAACCCAGGAGTTTGAGACCGGCCTGGCCAACATGGTGAAATCCAGTCTCTACTAAAAACACAAAAATTAGCTGGGTTTGAGGCTGGGCACAGTGGCTCACGCCTTTAATCCCAGCACTTTGGGAGGCCAAGGTGGGCAGATAATGAGGTCAGGAGATGGAGACCATCCTGGCCAACATACTGAAACCCCATCTCTACCAAAAATATAAAAATTAGCTGGGTGTGGTGGTACATGCCTATAATCCCAGTTACTCGGGAGGCTGAGGCAGGAGAATCGCTTGAATCCAGGAGGCAGAAATTACAGAGTTGAGAGGGCACCACTGCACTCCAGCCTGGGCGACAGAGAGAGACTCCATCTCAAAAATTATCTGGGTGTGGTGGCCAGTGCCTGTAGTCCCAGCTACTCTGGAGGCTGAGGCAGGAGAATTGCCTGAACGTGGGAGCTGGAGATTGCAGTGAGCTGAGAATGTGCCATTGCACTCCATCCTGGGCTACAGAGCAATTCTCTGTCTCAACAAAAGAAAAAAATAAAATAAAATAAAATAAAAATTAGCCCAGTGTACTGGTGTGCCAGTAGTCCTAGCTACTCTGAGGCTGAGGTGAGAGGATTCTTGAACTCAGGAGTTCAAGGCTACAAGTGAGTTGTGATCGTACCACTGCATGTCAACCTAGACAACAGAGTGAGACCCTGTTTCTCTCTCTCTCTTTTTTTTTTTTTTAAACAGACTTCTGGGACTAAGAGACCCTGTTTCTAAAATAATAACAGTAATAATAGGCCGGGTGTGGTGGCTCACGCCTGTAATCCCAGCACTTTGGGATGCTGAGGCGGGTGGATCACCTGAGGTCGGAGTTTGAGACCAACCTGACCAAGATGGTGAAACCCCACCTCTACTAAAAAAATAATAATAATAATAATAAAAATGCTAGATGCTGTGGCTCGCACCTGTACTCCTAGCACTTTGGGAGGCCAAGCTCCCCTCTTCACCTGTCAAATGAAGGAAGGATTTTCCCTAGATAACCCAACTCAGCTGCTCAGGCCCTGGACAAAGTTCTGTCTCACACATGCAAAAAAGATTTTCTTTTCTTTTCTTTTTTTTGTGAGATGGAGTCTCGGTCCATAGCTCAGGCTGCAGTGCAGTGGTGCGACCTCGGCTCACTACAACCTGTCTCCCGAGTTCGAGCAATTCTCCTGCCTCAGCCTCCCAAATAGCTGGGACTATAGGACTACAGGCATACGCCACCACACCCAGCTAGTTTGTGTGTGTGTGTGTATTTTTAGTAAAGACAGGGTTTTGCCATGTTGGCCAGACTGGTTTTGAACTCCTGACTTCAGGTGATCCGCCTGCCTTGGCCTACCTAAGTGCCGGGATTATAGGTGTGAGCCACCGTGCCTGGCCAGATTTTCATTTTTAAAAGCAAAAGTTCTAGGCCAGGCTGATGCCAGGATCTCAAGACTCCTCCCTTCTTAGCCTTTTAACAGCTCCCCAGCAGGCCGGCCAACAGACTCTGGCATCTCCCAGGTTTTGTTTCCTCTTGTTGGACCTGAGCCCAGATCTCTGGGCTGGCTAGGCCAGGCTTTCGAGGGAAGGGTCTACCCTTTCAGCCAGGCCACCTGGAGGTGAGACAGGCACTGGTTAGATAGAGGTGCCACTCCTCAGCAGCACCTCAGAGAGCTGCTTTCTGAGGTCAGACATTTCTAGGTGGCCAGGGCAGCTGGTATCTGGGCTCAGGGATGCAGCCCTCGCCGGCTGTGAAAAGTTTACTCAAAGTTATCTGTACAAATTCCACCCTGGCTGCCAGTCAAGTCTGTCTGCAGGGTTCTCCGGGTGGGCCCTGGGGAAATGACCCCTCAGTCTACACAAACTTCTCCTGGGTGTCCTGCATCCCAGGCCCATCTACAGTCTGGGAGATTTCCCACATATACACCCACACCGCACCCAGACACGCCAGGCAACTAACCAACAGCGCTATGATAACTGGCCTGACCCATCGCTCAAGCCCTACAAAGCCTGGGGTTTTCACCGACACATACGGCAGGCACACACAGAGGTTATAGACCCCACTCCTAGCCCGAACAACTGTGAGCCACGCAACAAGCCCAACTTCTGTACCCGCCCACCCCGATCTCTACCACAGGAAAACTCCGGGCGTCATCACTCTAGCAGTCAGTTCTACCTTCAGTGGCCTGTGGCAGCACCCCCTCGGTACAACATCCCGTGCACCCTCCCACACACTCCCACGACGCCACCTGCAGCCACTCCCGCACCAACTTTCTGACAACTCCCCTAGCTCGGCCCCGACACTCCCCCGGGCGGCACACTCACGCCCGCATTCCCAGCAGTTCAGACAAAGCGCGCAACCTCCCCCGCGGCCCAGACCAAGCCGGAGCACATGGCTCCCGGAGCGGCGAGGAATCGGCCAGCGCTCGGGGCGCCTGCACCCCCCAGCCCCTCACCCCCACCCCAGGCCGACTCCGCGCACCAGCTCCCCGCGGGCCCACCATCCTGGTGGGGCGGGGGCTCTGGAAGAAAGAAACTCACGTGTCTGTCCTGGGGCAGTAAAAAAGTTTGGTTCCCACCCCCTTCCCCCGCAGCTTGGGGCTGGCAGACTCTTCGGGGCGCGGGGCCGGCGGAGCGTGCACGCTCGGCTTTGTGCTCCGAACTCGGCCCGGAGGGGGAGGGGAGGGGAGGGGAGGGGAGGGGAGGGGGCTGGGCTCCCACCTCCGCGCCGCCCCCCCACCCCGGCCTTGCGCCCAGACTCCATGTTGGCCGCCCCCTGCCCCCGAGACTGAGCGTTTCTCCTGCCGGAGGCTCCGCTCACCCCTGGCCTGCCCGAGGGTCCCGGCGCTAACAAACTTTCTCCGGGGCGCCGACCCCACGCGCCCCGCTTCCTTGGCCCGCCTGGGAGTGACAGATGCCTCGGAGACAGACTTTCCTTTGTTCCAAAGGAAAGGGGAACTCGCGCGGGCTCCCCAGGGCCCCCCCGCTCCGGGCCCTTCCCGCGGCCCCCACCCCCAGCTGTCACTCTTGGCCGCCCCCTCCCTGGCTCGGAGGCGGGGGGGCCCTAACGGCGGTTAGCAACGTGCACTTTTGAAACCAAACAAATCCGCGGCCCCCCCCCCCGCGCGGGCTCACTCAGGTCTGGCGCAGGAGCGGCCCTCTCACGGGGTGGGATCCTAGGGAGCTGGGCCCCCACCAGGGCCCCGAGCGGGCTTCCTCCCGGGGGCTGGAACCGCAGCGCCGTCGGGACTCACAAACACCTCTCGGAGGCCGTCGGGACTCACCAACACCCCCGAGCTCACACACCCCCAACAGCGAGCGCCAGGACGACGCCCCCTCCCCCGCCCGACCGAGAGAAAGAAACTTTTCAAGTTGTCCGCGCGCCCCCACCCCCATCTGGCCCCCTCTTGCTCCCCGCACTGACTTTTCCGAGCGGCTCTCGGGTCCACGCGGCCGACGGCTCGGCGCTGGACGTCCCGACGGGGGGCAGGGGGCGCCGGGGGCGCGCACCGCGTACCTGCCCGGCCTGACACTCGGCCTGACAGCTCGCGGCTGGAAAGCACCTCGCGGCCTGACGTCAGATCCCCTCTCCTCCCCTCCGCGCCCTCCGCGCCCTCCCCCACCCGCCCTGAGGGAGAAAACAAACTTTGTGCGGAGCGCGGCGCGCTGCGCCCACCCCCTGAGGGGCGGGCCGACGACGCCGAGGGGCTTCGCCCCGCCTCGCGCGCCCGGAGGGGGCGGGGCCGCGGGCACCTTCTTCCTGCGCCCACCCCGCCCTCAGGAATGCTGCATGGCCTCCCCCGAGCGGCGGTGGGAGCCTCGGCCCGGGAGAGCCCGCTCGGGGGCAGGAAGTGGCCCGGCCCTCCTTGTGGAGGGCGTTTCCGGAGCGCCTACTGTGCTCCTCGCCGGGGTGGGGGTCGTTACCGAAGGGGGAACTCCTGGAAATTCTAACTTTTGTCAGTTCGCGCCCCGCTCTAGCCGTCCTGCCGCTTTTCGATTGCTCTCATTGCCTCGGGGAAACTGAGGCCAGTTAGTCCGGGCACTTAACCGCAGCTGATAAAGGACTGGGCTGTGACGGGGACGACTGTTATGCCCTCAAGGGCCTGTAGAGTCTGGGAGGCCGCACTTGGTTGGGCTCACAGGGGGCCACTAGAGGTGAAAACAGCCAGCGCTTTCAACGATGCTGTCAGGGGCACTTCGTGTGTGTCATCCCGTCTCATCCTCGGGTGATGGGGTAGGTGCTGTCCTATGTAAGTCTCTGGCTTAGCGTCTCAGAGAGGGTCTTGATTTGCTTGTCACACAGTCAACCGGTGTCATTCAGGCCAGGTCGGTCGATAGTGAAGCCTGATCTCTTACCCCTTGTGCCCGGCCTTAGACCATCAGTCGAGGAGCTCCCCGAGTTAACTGTCTGGCTTCTTTTTCCTCTTCTGCCGGTTACATCCTACTCCAGATGGTTTTCCTTGGCCTCCCCAACCCCGGTCAGCACACTCTTACTCCGCTGTCTGCTGTGGGTACCACATACTGTGAAATACCTGTTAACCAACTTCTTTAGGGCATCCCCCCCACACCCCCCAGCCCTGTACCTGGACAGGCCTAGGCCTGTATATCTAGGGCCCTTGAGCTTGGAAATTGCCTTGAAAACAGCTTTTGGTCTTAATTGCCCTCTAGCAATGGAGAACTGTGGAAACAAAACTCTAATTTTTTTTTTTCCAAACAGGCCCTAAGCCAATCAGAATGCTGATTAAAGGATTGTTGGTTTCACCTGGACACCCCGTGGAAGCCAGTCTTCCTGCAAATCTTAAAAAACCTCCTCACAGCAGCAGGTGAGATGTCAGTGGCACTGCCTGTTGCTCTTTATTTCACAGACAGGGAAGCTGAGGCCCAGAGTGTGGGTCAGAAACGATTTTTTGGCCAGATGTGCTTCCTCCACGGCCCTCTGAAAGAAAAGGCCAGGTCTGGGTTGTCTTCAGTAAGAAATGTAAATCCCATGGGCCTTAGCTTCTAGGAAATGTCTGGGACAGGAACCTTCAGAAGACGGGAGCTCCAGGGGGAATCAGGTGAGCCTGGGGAGGGGACTCTGGTGGTGGCCACTGAGCTTGAACTCCAAACTAGGTATTTTCTCCTGTGTGCCTGAGAGCCACACTCTGCCGTTTTTGGGGAAATCACTGGGGGCCTGGGATAGAGGCAGACGCCTCACCCGAAAATTGTGCCTGCAGCAGCCCTTTACACCAGTGCTTCCCCAGTCTGGTGCTAGATGAGGTTGGGGAAATGGAAAGGAGTGACTGCCTCCTCCTACCACCTAAGAGCTGCATAACAAAAAACCTGTAGCCCCTCCAGATTGCCTCCTGGAGGATGGGGTAGGGGTGGAGGGAGGCTGGGAGCTGGTCAGATTTTGCACAGAAACTAGCTTCACAGGTAAAGCCTAAGTGCAATTTGAGTTTGAGAATTACTGTGTAAAGTTTCTCAACTAGTATCAGAATTTAAAATGTGTGGATTCTCTAAGCCAGTAATTCCACTTATAGGAATCTATCTTTAGAAGTAGCTATACAGGCCTGGTGTAGTGGCTAATGCCTGTAATCTCAGCACTTTGGGAGGCGGGTGGATCACCTGAGGTCAGGAGTTCAAGACCAGCCTGGTCAACATGGTGAAACCCTGTCTCTAAAAACAAAACAAAACAAAAAGAAGTAGCTGTTTGACAAAGATAAATGCTTATAGACGACTGTTCTTTGCAGAACTGTTGGGGGAAATTGCAAACAACTAAATACCCCTCACCAGGAGCTGGTTCCTAATAGCAACTCTGAGACCTCTACTCCGGGCTTTTAAAATGGGGTAAGTCTCTGCGTGCCAATCTAGGGGCATGGCCAAGGTATATTTATTGACAGCTTACAGTGTCTCAACAAGGAGGGACTTTGGACTATGTGCTGAGAACTTTTGTGGGACAATTTTTTCCAAGCGATGTTATTTTGTTGTCATTTTTGTATCCCACCCTTTTTTTTTTTTTGAAACAGAGTCTTGCTCTGTCACCCAGGCTGAAGTGCAGTGCAGTGACACGATCTCAGCTCACTGCAACCTCTGCCTCCCGGGTTCAAGTGATTCTCCTGCCTCAGCCTCCCGAGTAACTGGGACTAAAGGCGCCAACCGTCACGCCTGGCTAATTTTTGTGTTTTTAGTAGAGATGGAGTTTCACCATGTTGGCCAGGCTGGTCTCCTGACCTCAACTGATCCACCCACCTCAGCCTTCCAAAGTGTTGGAATTACAAGTGTGAGCCCGGCCTTCTCCCACTCTCTCTAAATTAAAAAGAAATATTATTGTGATAATAAGCTCTCCCTACCTTTTTTTCCCATGTATGAAGAAACGGGGTTGGTAAGGGAAGAAGAGACTTGCCTGATACCGAGTTTGGGATCCTGACCCCTGAGAGGAAGCTGGGAGAGTAGGAGAAGGAAGGGCATCCAAGCCCAGCCCAGTCTGGCTGCCCAGGTCACCTAAGTCAGTTCTGTGCCTCCATGCCAGAAAAGCCTGACACTCTTGGATTTGGGGCTCCAGGTTCATCCTGCCAGTTTCTAGTGAACTTGGTGATCATATAGGTTCAAATGAATAAAGCCCCTTTTGTTAAAAAAAAAAAACAACAAAAAGTGAGCTGCTTGTTTGCTTTTGTTGCCTAGGCTGGAATGCAGAGGCGCGATCTCGGCTCACTGCAACCTCCGCCTCCCAGGTTCAGGCGATTCTCCTGCCTCAGCTTCCTGTGATTACAGGCATGTGCCACCATGCCCAGCTAATTTTGTATTTTCAGTAGAGACGAAGTTTTACCATGTTGGCCAGGTTGGTTTCAAACTCCTGACCTCAGGTAATCCGCCCGCTTTGGCCTCCCAAAGTGCTGGGATTACAGGGGTGAGCCACCTTCCTGGCCACCACTCCCTTTTTTGATGGAAGTGAGAAAAGGCACCAGCATTCACTGAGAGTGCATATGAGCCAAGTCGAGTCTTAGGATAAAGGAGAAGATGGGGTTCTGAGAGGTAGAGGGAAGAGTCCAGCAAAGGCCTGGAAAAGTGAAAGTGACTAATTTAGGAAACAACTGGATTGGATGAGATGGAAGGGCCGAGAAGGCCAGGATGAAGAATTTGGATTTGGCAGTGTGAGTAGTAGAGTCCCAGCAGGTTCCTGCTGAATGCTGGGAAGAGACTGGAGGGAGGGTAGGTGGTGACTCAGCTCTGGGTAACTGAGACCAAGTGGATGGAGACCTGCCTCTGAGATCTAAGGGAATTCCGCATCTTCCTCCTGAAAAGTCTTGTAGTATCTTGTTGGTCACACAGTTTGCCTAGCTTTCTCCTAGTTGTTGGGTATTTACTCACTTAACTAATTTCTGAGTGCCCACTTGTGTCTGGCTGTGTGCCTAAGACTTCCCAGCCAAGCTTATCCTGAAGGCTTTGGGTGACAGTATTTTGTGGTGAAAAGGTGGTGGCACTG